GCCCCGCCCGCCCCACCTGCGCGCACGTCCACCTGCGAGGAGTTGAGCAGCTCGCCGCTCCGGGAGCTCACCGTCACGCGATAGGCCGCGCCGGGGCTCAGCCCGTCCAGCGTGACCCCGGTGGCGTCGGGAAGGAGCGTGGTCCGGCGCGGGCTCGAGCGGTTGGACCGCAGCCACACCAACAGGGTGTCGGCGGCGCCCGCGGGCGGGCTCCAATGCAGCCGCAAGGTGGCGCCGTCGGTCTCGGCCGTCAGGTTGCCGACGGCGGCCGGCGCTCAACGCAAAACGAGAGGTGGGCAAACTTTCCGTCAACCGTCTTTGGAAGTCAAACGGACGCGTGCGGCGGGGTACCCGTTTGAGTGCGGACGGCGCTGCGGTTGCGCAGGCCGCCGGCCTCCGTCGCCACGGTCACGTTGTAGCGCGTGCCCGGCGTGAGGTCGTCGAGGGCGCGCGAGGTGGCGGTCCTCTCCAACGTCTCGTTCAGCAGCAGGTGCGCTAGTGGGAGGGGCCTACGGTCATGTGCCAATGGCGCGGAAAGGGCGGCGGGCTCGCGCACGCGCGCGAGAGGTACCACAATCGTCGTCCGCAACTCCGGAAGGTCCCCAGAGGAGAAGCCGGAAACGCTGAGTCCCGCCTGGGCCCGCCTGCCAGGACAGTCGCAGGCTGTCGCTCCGCCTGGAAGTCACGTGCAGGCCCAGCGGCGCCGAAGGACCTGACGCACAACGCAAGCACACGTGAGCAAACGACATCGCGCGGCGGCGGCGGCTCTGAAAGCGGGACACAAATAACCTCTCTTGAAAGCTCAGACCATTTGAGGTGGGCGGGGTCGTGAAAAGGTCAACGTTGCTCAAACAATGTTGTACTTTGAGGCCTTCTTTTCTCACACGCACGCACGCAAAACAAGAGAACAATTGAGGACGGGAAATGAACGGAGAGCTCGGCCCGGCGTGGAAACGCACCACCTTCTGTTTTGGATGCCTTCCAACACACACACAGGCCCTATCGCCTCCCGTCAGCCGCCTCTCCCTTCCTCTTTCGAATGGGAGGCTGAGTGAGGGGACGCTCCACGGGGAGACCTGCGCTGCGGCCGTCACGTCCGCAGGTCTCCCCGAGCGGTCACCGTGAGTTTGGCGTCCCCAAAGCCGAATCATTTCCTGCGGGCGCCGCAAGATGGAAGCGAGGGCCACAACGGCGGCTCGGCTCTCTCGGATTGTGGCTCGCAATAGAAAGCACAAGCAGCAAGCAGAGAGGGGGCGGGGGGGGGAGGGGCAACGATGCCTTCGGGCAACTTACTGGTGCGCACGCTGACGTTGGCCACTTCCTGCGTGTCGGCGGAGCGGACGCGCAACACATGTGCGCGTCCCGGTTCCAAGCCCCGCAACAGGCAGGTGAAGACGGCACCTGGGAACGGCGGGCTCTCGCGCCGCGTGGCGTTCGCCGCCGCTTCTTCGGCTCCTGCGCCGTCGCGGCTCCTTCGGGCGCACGGGACGTCTTCGGCGGCGCCCGCAGACCGCGCGGCTAAGGAGCAGTTGGGCGCCCGGGTGCTCGCCATGAGCTCCACCCCATCCCAACCGGACGTCACCTCACGGATGGACGGGCGGCAGCCGTGCGACGACTCGTCCGTCCCGGCTGCGCCGATCAGAGCCTGAAGGACACGCCATCATTATCATCATCATCATCATCATCATCATCGTTGGCGTGGTTAAAAATGACAGTCAAGCACGTTCTCCACGATAACGCGGTGGAATGTGGGCAGGCTCATCTCAACGAGGCATTCTGATGAGTCGCACGCACCAAGCCGCAAAGTGCGGCCGCTTTGGGCCATCTCGTTGTCAAATGAGAGCAACACACACACACACACACACACACACACACACACACACACACAAACACACACGAGCAAAGCCGCAAGGGCTCCAGGGCGCCTCGTCGACAACGACGCCGTTCACCTCCTGCTCATCCTCGCGCCGTCGCTTACCTGCAGCATCCACGCGACGGCGACGCGTGGCCAAAGCGGCGGTCGCGGCGGCATTTCGGAGGCGGCGAGCCGGTCGGGGCGCTTCTGCTCTGTGTGCGCAGCGACGGGCCGCTTCCCACCAGCGCAGGGGGCAACTCCGGGAGCTCCGCCTTTCCTGCCCGCCCTCTTTGTCCTCCGCTTCCTGTCCGGCCGCGCTGCAAATGACCTCCCGTGACAGCCGCTTGCACTCCACGCTCTTTGGCGCGCCGGTCACCGAGGAGCCCTCGGCGATCCGAGCGGCCGCCGTCAGGCTTTCGTGACACCTCATTCTCAAAGGTCATGATGCAAGATCCAAGTCCAAAGCAACATTTTGCACAGCCTTCACTGGCCATTTTGTGAGGATTTCACCAACTGGAACTTCAGAAACGGGTTTCCAGCTTGCAGAGGGTGACAAACGTCCAACGACCGGCGCCCCCGGGGCCTCTGCGTCGTCCGGAGGCGGCCGTCTGACTTGAGCGGCGCAACTCCGAGACAGCGAGCGGACACTTTCGGCTGTTTGGCATCTCCAATTTCCTTTGGACTCTTACGCCGTTGTACTCCCGCAGCAAAGAATGCCAAAGTGCTCGACGCGCAACTCCATCCCAGGGAAAAGGGCTCCGACAAATAGCATGTCGTCGAATGTCATTTGCGCAAATCGTGTCATCCCAAACGCGCTTATCCAACCGAGAGCGTTTCGCCTGAAGGGGTGCCCCCAACAAACAGCCCTCCCTTCCAAAAAGGTCACGAGCGCCCGTGACCCCCGTTCTTGTTAGCCCGCGTCACTGACCGAGGCGAAGGGAAGCGGACTTTGGCCTTGTGTGCGCGTGACTGAAGCCAATCGTGGCCGGCGAGGGGGCGTCACTCACCGGCGCGACAACGAGGGTCACCGCGACCACCAAACGTCCTCCCGTCGTCCACCGGGAAGAGGGCACGTGAGCCGCCGCCGGCGTCCTGTGAACGAAGCGCAACGGACCGGAAGGAAGCAAGCGAACGAGCGCCAGGCGGGGACAGGAAGGAAGCCTGATGGCGATGACAAAAATCAAGAAATACTCCGAATAAAAGGAGACATTTGGCACGAGCTGCAACGAGGCAAGTCGGCGGGCAGTGAGCAGCTGTTCTTGCGTCGGACTTACCGATGATGAGGGCTGACTTGAGGACGGGGACTCGCTCGCGGGTGACGATCACAAAACTTGAGTGCCCCCTGGTGGCGAAAATGACGAGGTGCAGTCAGACGATTCGACAGACGACGCGCGCATTCCAACCACTCGTCAGTCAGCCTTGGATTTTTCCATTGAGCAGTCGTCGTCGTCCTCTGGCACAGGTGAGGAAACGTTTTCGTTCGCTTCGGAAGCGTCCGAATCACGATTACGAGTAAAACTGAACATGGTGATTTGTGGCGTACATTTGGAATCATTTCCTTCCGATCGGTTGTACTATTTCAATGTATTTTGCTGTTAATATTCGGAGGGGGGATTTTTTGTATTCATTTGAACTCCTTGTAAGTTGTAGCACAAGTATTTTTCAATGGTGTTTATTATTAGTGGTAATATTGTAAAAGTATACCACCTCAAGGGGCACAGGTGAGGGAGGAAACGTTTTCGTTCGCTTCGGAAGCGTCCGAAATGAGGTGGCCGCCATTGAAGTCGAAGGGGATGACGTCCGCGCGCACGCGCAAAAAGTTGTGTACGCGCTGCCGTTGGACGAAAATGGCAGAAAGGGAAGTCGGTTTCGGTTTGCCGAAAGTCACGTGATTCCTAGGAACTTTTCTAGGGCGAACTGGGCCGCGGGGCCCGTCCGCGACCAAAGTTTCGGGAAGCGCCGCCCAGGAGCGGTAGTGCCCATATTTGGCAGGCCAGGTAGTCACTGACGGGAAAGGCCGCCACCCCCCCGCCGCGCCCCGCCCTCATCTACTTGGCCTCTTTCTCCGCCGCCCCCACCGCCGGACTCATTCGTCACGGAGACTTGAAAGTGCAACGATCGTCCCGACTTTTCGTCTCCAGCTTTCTCCGGCCCCGCTCACCGTGCAAGAAGCCAACATGACTCAAGTCAACCGCTGCGTCAAGCTGAGCTTGATCGTGTCCAACATTTTCTTCGCGGTAAGTTCGACGACTCGACACTCGCCAAATTCAAAGTGCGCACTCGCCAAATTCAAAGTGCGCACTCGCTAACCTTAGCCTCTTCGGTAGCATGTCGCCCCGCACACTTGGTTCCGCTCGAAATGAAACTTGTTAGCTCGCGCGCCGGCCCACAGTCGAGGTTGTCGGTTCGAATCCCGTCCCTTTTGTTTTCCCCCGGTGCGCGTGTTCGTCGGTCAGTCCGAATGTGAATTGGCGACCGGTCGTTGTCGCGACGATGTTGACGGCCGTCTCGTCCTCCCAGATTGTAGGAGGCGCCATTATCGCCCTGGCTTTGCTGCTGCAGTTGCTCACGCGCCTCAACGGCGCCTCGGTAAGCGTCGTCGCACGTCGTCGGTCTCGGTCGTCGCGCGCTCTGCCGGGTTCACCCCGCCTGTGTGTTTACAGCTGGAGGGCCGCGGCTCAGCCCTGATCCTGCTGTACGTGGTGGGCACCATCACCATGGTGGTCGCCGCCGTGGGTGCGTACGGCGCACACCGCCAGAGCCGCGTCGCCCTCATCGTGGTGAGTCCGGCGCGTCGCGCGCACTCGTCCTCGTCCGTCAACTTCCTCTCGAGAAGGCAAATGTCAACCTGGCCTCTTGTGCGCCTGCGCAGTTCCTGGTGTGCATGGTCATCGGCACGCTGATGATGCTGCGCGTCGGCATCCCTTTGGCGGCCGTGCGCCCCGAGGTAACGTCGCCGCCGCCAAACCCGCAGGCTCGCGCCGGCCTGCCGCCGCGGTAACCTGGGCGCTCTCGCAGGTGGAGGGCCTGATGTCCCGCCGCTTCGGAGAGCTGCTGCCGTTGGACGAAGCTGACGAAAAGACCAAGGAAATTGCCGACGGCGTTCAGGAAATGGTGAGGTCGTCGTCATCGGGGGTGCGGCCCGCGCGGGTGACGCAAGCTGACCGGGGGCGTGCGTGCGCGCGCGTGCGAGCAGATGCAGTGTTGCGGCGTGTTCAGCTACGACGACTGGCGGCAGAACATCCCGGACTCGTGCCTGTGTGACGAGGCGGCGCGGCTGGAGGGCAAATGTCAAGTCGTCAACTACAACGTGAGAGACCGACCGTCAATGAAAATGAGCATCAAAACCCAACGTGACGTGTTTTGTGTGTGCGTTACAGCTGATGATGCTCCAGATGAGGAAGTCCGTCTTCCGCCAGGTGAGTTTCGTCGGCAGGGTCGCGTGACGGCCGAGTCGCAAGTCGCTGATTTAGCTTGCGTGCAGCCGTGTTTCCCGCTCATCGTCCACTACGTGCTCCTGGCTTTTGACATCGTGATGGGCATCGCCTTCGTGTTGGCGCTCCTGGCGGTAAGAGGCGTTTTGTGGGGCGGGGGGGGGGCTCCAGATGAGGAAGTCCGTCTTCCGCCAGGTGAGTTTCGTCGGCAGGGTCGCGTGACGGCCGAGTCGCAAGTCGCTGATTTAGCTTGCGTGCAGCCGTGTTTCCCGCTCATCGTCCACTACGTGCTCCTGGCTTTTGACATCGTGATGGGCATCGCCTTCGTGTTGGCGCTCCTGGCGGTAAGAGGCGTTTTGTGGGGCGGGGGGGGGTCAGGGTGACGCCAGCGGTGATGTCACTTCCCGGTTCCCCCCACCGCTGCTGGGGCTGACCCTGTCCGCCA